CAACCAACACAGATCGAGTCGACTCTGTGGGGCTTTTTTTTCAAAGATCATCCCCGAAATGTCGGGAAATCCCTGCCTTGAAAAGCTGCTCAAGGTCCAACAACAGCAATGCCTGCAGTTTCAAGGTCCAACACTTAGGACAGCCTACAGCGGGGAGGTGTTCTCTTAAATCAAATCATATCAAAAGTGATATGTTACAGATTGGGTGCCCCAAAAATTCATGGTTTATCAATGTTGATCATCATCTTCTATTTAAAATCAAGGCATGCTGGGGTCTCCCTTAGAGAAACCCGAATGAATCGCACGGTTCCCATGGCAAACTGCAGCTGCATCAACCACTGAGCTCATTGACATCCTCACCAGCATCACGCGCTGCCTTTCCCAGCAAACCAACCCAATGAAACCGAGACAGACTTAGCATACTTGGCTAAAACACAGGACTCCTCAGTTGTCAAGTGGTTCATGCCCTATGTTCATGTGGGGTGATCTCAATCTTACCCTATGCCCGAAGGAATTGGCTCAAGTTGGGGACATCCAATGGCCCCTTGAGATCCTTGGAGCACAGAACTTCAATGAGAGGAAGCGGTTGATGTTGGAACCTGTCAACCAGTAGAATGAGACAACCAAGCATCCCTTTGTGTCAGAGTCAAGTGGGCAACCTCTACCAGGAGAAAGGTAGTCTTAGAAATTTCGTGGTATTGAGACTGCGCAGTGGCAACCCATGGAACGCGGAAATCGCTCCCTCCACCAGCCTCAGCCAGAGCGCAAGCACCATTCTCCGCTAGAACGGCCTGCAGCACAGCAAGGCCGTGACTAAAAGTTGGATTTCATACGAAGCTTTCAGTTTGACCATGAAATAAGGCGACGTGATTTTTCGAACCCCTTGGCCCCTTGATTTGAGGAGCACCTTCAACATGGTTCCACCTGGCTTCTCTTTTTCTGTGGATATAAATATAAATCATTGGTTCCCTGGCACTGGTTTGAACTGTGTCATTTGCTGGATGACTTCAGAAATGGGTATGGGTCAAGACCCTAAATGCCCTGGTGAAGCAGAAAATAGCTGGTACCCTCTGGCATTCTAACCTGACAATCATCCATTGATCTCCATCTATGGCTGCTTAAGCCATTTGAAAACTTGTGTCTACATTGCCACGTTGCGTTACGGATAGGGATCATATCAATTTATATAGGTGCTGCCCCTCCCAAAATGTCCAGTATGGGGCCAAAGTTGGGAGTCCACATCCCATGATGAATTTTGACCCACAAACAGCCCATGATTTAATCCCCATTCGTGGACAAACCCGTCTCCCATATCGTTGGCTATATCTCTCACTGTGTATGATGTTTATATACATATATAATATTGTACTAAATCATATTAATTATATATAATAGTGTGTATATATATATATATATGTATGTATGTATACCACTAGTATCTAATTACTAGTATTATAACGATGAGATAATTAGATGTTACATCCCGTTGTATTCCCATTCTATCCCCTTGACCGTTTGCCTCCCCAGGACGTGCTTCCATGCCGCCCGAAATCACTGTGAGGCGGTCCACCACATCCGACTGTCCAGGGAGTCCAGGTTAACAGGTCACATACCCCGGAGGTATTTCAAATGAGGGGGAAGGGATTAATGATCTGGGGGGTTATGGCCATTTCTATGTGAAATGGCTAGTGACAGACTGGGGATGCTTCAAATCTTCAATGTATTTGCTATTAAATTCACATTTGATTTATTACAATCACAAACCCCTGGTTAACATTGCGAGTGGTTTTCCACCATGTTGATCAATCAGTTTAGTACCTGGGATGCACATCTGGGGATGTAGTGAATCCCGACGATACCGAAACTGAAAACCAAGTGCAAAAGAAGATGTCCAAAACCACAGGAAACCCCTATTGGTTTAATCGCATTTCATCCATTTGTCTGCTGGAGCCCGCAAAAATGCAGCCGGAGAGACTTATAGGTAACCAGGTACGCAGGTATTAGAATCAGGAGACCCAACAAGGGCCTATGTCCCTTCACGTGAAACCCATAGACATCTGCAGACGTCAATCTGGAATTTCGTGCCGCCGTTATATAGTCACATTTTCTGATTCTCAACATGTTAGTCATATTTGATACTCCAAAAATTGAGATTAGATTAAATGACACATGGTCATTAATGACCACCATATATATATATAAATTAATGATCTAATTAAATGATATATGCCGTGAATATCGTTAATGACCACAAAATCTGCGACCGTGTCTCATCCCCCAAAACGCGCATGGCTCGGTTTGTCTGAAAATGGGCGAGCCCCCAATAGCTGGATGGTTGATCATCATCATCGTCGGCATTAAAATTGCCTTAAAAAATGCCTTACATGGAGGTGTATGACATTTTCGGACAGATCCAAATTTTCAAATACTATGTTGTTGCTTATGAGTTATATATATAATATATATAAATATGATATATAATGATATATATATATATTATATTATATATATATATTATATATATATATATTATATATATATTATATATATATATATATGTTATATATACATTATATTCCCATCATATCCCTATATTCATCCATATTCCACAAATGAATGAGCATGTTTGGCCACCCTCGGTGGCCAGCAGTGGCCTCACCCAGGAGAGACTTGATCTCGGCTGCCTCGCTGTGTATTGATCCGTCCCCATATTTGAAGTACCTGTCCTTAAGGGGGGTGATTGAAGCTCCTATGAATCCCATATAATATATATATATATATGATAGTCTATGATCTATATGATCTTAGCATATCTGAACCATGGTTTAACCATGGTTTAACCTGTCTGAGACGAAAATCCAACTCAGACATCAACCGCCAGAGCTTGGAAACTAACATCGTTTCAGCCCCAGGTCTTCGTCCATTGTAAAGGGATGATTTTCCCAACACTTCCAGATTCGACTTGACCCACACACCTCCACGGCAGAGGGTGCAGCGGTGAAGATTTTCACGTTATTCTTTTTTTGGGCCTCTCGAAGCTGGCGGTTCTTCTAATCCAAATCCTCTCAGTCAGACTGGGCTTTGTTTCTTGGCCAAGCAAACAAAACGACAAAATGGAGGTTTTACGGTACGTCTTTGCACTGTGTTGTCTGGTGCCAGATCTTAACATGAAAGACCATCTCGGACCTTTGAGGCATTTGAAATCTCCCTGTTCAGCCACCTTGATCACGTGGGCAATGTACTCATACAGCTGCTTCTGCCTTTGGCAACATCCAAGGAATGAGACGGCTGGGGACTCCTTGCCCATTCATTTAATAAATACTACAGTACACTTTGATTTGGGAAATACCAGGTGTCTTATCTTCTTTGGTGGATTTGCATAGATTTTCATAAGCCTTTCTGATGCCTGACTTCTTCAACTAGCCAGCTTTTTTAAAGTCCAAGCCGCGACAGTCCACTGGGAAGCTGCAAGAGCATGGATTGCCTGGCAGCTTCAACTTCTTCAACTTCTTCAACCGACTCCCAGGGGGAATGATGATATTTACCATCCACAAAACTGGGAAATCTCCGAAGAAAATGACGTGTTTCCTAGGGAATTCGCCAGCCATGTTTGAATACCGGAGGGTAAATGGCGATTTAAAAAACTACGAGATTAACACTCTATAGTATAGATAAGTCATGATAAGTCAGGATATTTACGATCAATAAACTAAAGTGGTAAACCTAGTGTAATGGAACATTGAATTGGTGATGTTAGAACTTCACCCATTTGCAAAAGTGAGGATGGTTGATGATTAGACAAGGAACCACCAAAAAAAGAATTTGCAAAATAGTGTTCCTATTGGACATCGCCAACTCATCCGGGGGCACAACATACCTCTGTTTCACTAGTCCCCCGACCATTTGGGAATTTCACTAGTCCCACGACCATTGTGGAAGAATGCAAGGTTAATAGTAGAAACAAGCGAACCATCTACGCAACATCCAAATGTTTTATCACATCCCCGACAACTGGTAGGGTACGAGTCCAAACATTTTGTATCCTATAGTGGTTGCTTAGATATCCTTGAGCTTCTTTTAAACAAAACACATTTACATTCTGGGACTCAGCAAGTGAGGCATTTTTTCACTGCGACACACTGTGAGCTTGCCGCTGGCGCCGGAGAGGCAGCACCACGTCTGATTGGGGTCCCAGCCACTTCAAAAAATGCTGCCAATTGATGTCAATTGGATAGGTTATAACTATATGGTTACTAATAATCTTATATTTCATGTTATTTCATGTTATGTCAGGTTTAACGGTTATATCCCAGGAGATAATTTTTTGGAAGAAATAAACAATGCGAAGTAAACCACCAACCAAACAAGTTCTGTCCTGGAATCAGAGTCGGATAGGCCAAGTGGATTCAAGAAAATGACCATGGGCTCCACGCTGCAGTTGGGAAGCCAACCGTTTCTCCGTTGGATTTTGCTGACGAGAGGTACTACGGGTTGGTGATTTCAAGTATTTCAAGTCATCCCAAAGATATGTTTCAAACAGGGATCATCCTTAATAGGGATGGATAAAAGATGACAAAAGGAATATGTCATAATATGTCACAATTTCAAACCACCAACTCGGCTAGCAATGCACGAATTTAATGCAGTCAAATTGAAGAAGCTATTAGCAGCTACATGCTCAAAGAAAGAGACTGCAAAGCCAAAGAAACGGTGCATTCACCTATGATATCTGTCCAGAAGGTCAAAGTCTAAAGTCAAACAACCATCCAACAACCAGAGAGGATCGCTGCACACGTTCCGAATTCAGTGCCGGGGCTGGGAGGTCCTGTCAGATTCACCTCCCAATTCTGGGCAGGTGGGATCACCTTGGCTGGAAAATCTCCGGGTCTCAGGGCGATGGGCCAATCATCAAGAACAGATTTGCTAGAAATAGTACAGTACCCAAAAAAAAATATGAAAAAATATGAAATATATCCAACAAAACCAGGGCGGCCCACGCTTCAGAAGGGCACTTTCTGCACCTCTGCAGCAGGCGAAACGGAAGAAAAAGGGAGTTGACCCCTCAAAAGAGCAGACATGTTGGGTGATCTAGCCAACAAGAATGGAGGTTTCACGTGATTCAACCCATGTCTTTTACCATCAGAAATGATGAGTTCATTGTTTTTAAGAAGAAGTACATGTTCAAAAAAAAGAAGAATGATGAAACCTGGTGGTATCACCCCTAAATCATGGGGACAGAAAACACTTTTTTCTGGCTGGTGATTGAGCCACGAAGGAAGTCAACTGAGAACATCATCCATTCATCATTAAACCAGACTCGGGTGTGTGGATGAAATGTTGGACTCCTCAAATACGATAGTCTAGCAATGTCTAGCAAGCGAGATCACCAACATCTATATGGTCCCTGGGGATTGAAAGTTTATTAGTCAACCTGTCAAGACCAGACAAGGGGGAAAATATGCGGAAAATGAGATGTAGTGTGATTACTAAAACATGCAAGAGAGCTTGCACAGAATCAGACGTCTTTTGGACTTGCGAGGTTCTGATAGAACGAAGGCCGGCCCAAAGTTAGGCTTCCCTACCCATTTTCGAATGTCGTGGAAGCGATCAGGGCTGCGCTTCCGGCCTTGACGTGCCCAAGAATGAGGGAGTATAAAACAAACCATTTTGTGGGGCTAGAATAATATCCCACTATATCCCTTTTATATAAACTATACAACACCATACCAAGGGATATTGTATATAATATGGGATAATAGTTATAATATCCCATAAAATATAACCAGCCAGAAATACATATTGGATATCATGGGACCCAACAATCTGAGATGTGGCTTTGTCATGGTCACAACATGGTGAACAAACATGATGATAAACCAATGGAGTTGGAGGACTTGCAAAGCAGCTTTGCGGAATTTTCCCAACATTCTGAATATTCTGAATAAGAAACTGTTGCAGAACTTTATGGCAAGGCTCTTGTGGACTTGGCAGGACTTGGCAGGACTTGGCCATCTTCTTAGCACCATCTTCTTTCATTGACAGATCATTCATGCACATGCAAATGGTGCCATTCCACCCCTTGAGGTTCACGGGGAATGCCAATAGATTCCTGCCATCTGCACATCTAATGATCCGGCACCCCCATGCCAACCCACAGCACAAGCCACAAACATTGGGCCGCCCAGCTACGCTGCCTGCGGGCTGCCAGCTCACCAAATTGATCCAAGCAAGTTCAGTCTACAGATCGCGAACTGACAACTGTCACTTGAAACCCTGACCTGTCTGTTTAAAATCGTGTTCGCGTGAAATTCAGACACCAAAACTCCTGGTCAACCCAAACTCTACCCAGTTCTGATCCAAATCCGGCCTTGAAGCATCCTTGGACGGAAACACATGCAGCGGCTGTGTCATGGGTGAGGCAAATGGCACAGCCGGGGGGGACCAACGAGGTTGGTTTGTGGGCCAATAGCCTTGGGGTGTGCCAGCTATGCCTTGGGATTGCGGGCTCAGCTGCTGGGTCACACAGTTCTGGCCCAAGCTCGGCTGGTGGATTCCCTGGTGCTTCACCTGGCTTGGCTGCTCGAGCTTCACCTGGTTCGCCTGGTGGTTCAGCCACTGGTTGGCCAAATGATTGGATTGGACCAGCGGCTTCATCTCATGCTGGCTAGGCTGCTGGTTCGCCTGATGCATCACTTGCTGTCCTGGCATTCCACCAGACATTCCACCAGAGATACCCTGGGCCATGGAACCCATGGGAGTGGCACCTCCCATCTCCATCCCCAGCTGTCTTGGCTCCCAAAACGCAGGGCAGCTTTCTGGGGCTGCACCTGCTATCCAAGAGCCAGGTTGGGGTTGCCAGGGAATGATGGACCAAAAATATCAATTCTGGATCAAGATGGGAATCATAATGGCATCTCAGTAGACCTACAATTTTTGCTGCTGAAATTGTTCCCACTTGGGGATTTCGGGGGAATCCAGTTTTGAGGCAGGCCCAATATGGGGCCAAACCATCAAAGTGATTGAAACCACTGAGATTCTTGGTGTTTGTTTGAAAATAGTCTGCCCCAAAATGTCATGTTCTTTGAAATCATGTTTTCCATTTCTCCAAGCGGCCATCAATTGGCTGCAAATCCATTTTTGGACAAACACAAATCGCATGTTCTCGATGACATATCCATTAATTCCCATTCATTCCAAGAGATCACCATGAAATATCCCATGAAATCCACATTTTGCTGTGGATTTCTCCCATTTTTTGGTGGGCAAAGAAACCCAACAGATCTTCAACCCCTCCTATCCCCCCCGTCAAAAGGCCGCACCTGGCGAAGCTAAAGGCCTTGCCGGAGCCCGACGCCTGAGCGGTGTCCCCGGTCCCTGATCAAATGATGTTGCGATGGTCATAATATGATCATAACATGATCATACTATGATGTTTAAAACGTGTCACTGTGTATGCGTATGTATAATATACAGACATAGGTATAGATACATACAAGCATCGAAGGAAGTTTAGAAGTCAAACTTCCGACAATATGGACAGATGAAAAGCAGAGGTGGTAAGAGTCAGAGAAGAGAAGAGAAGAGAAGAGAAGAGAAGGGAAGGGAAGGGAAGGGAAGGGAAGAGAAGGGAAGAGAAGAGAAGAGAAGAAGAAAAAGATCAAAAAAGAGAAAGTCTCAGAAGAAAAAAAACCAGGTGCGTGAAAAGGGAAAGTCGCGAAACACTGTGTTTTATAACAATGATTTGTGGCTCCGGAGGGTCGAAAAGTAGGCTCGCTAAAGCGGCGGGTGCGGAGCCCGCTGGGCAGATGAGAGATGAAAAATTGCACGCCGTTGTGGCGCGAAGCACATTTCGAAGTCAAAATGTTAAAAACACCACATGTTCGGACCACTTTTGGAAGTTGAGATGTCGAAAAAGTGCACGCCGTTGTGGCGCGAAGCACATTTCGAAGTAAAGGGTGAAAAAAAAACTGCCGGGTTCGGAGCACCAAAAAGTGCACGCCGTTGTGGCGCGAAGCACATTTCGAAGTCAAAATGTACAAAACACACCAGGTCCGGACCACTCTTGGCACTTGAGATGTCGAAAAAGTGCACGCCGTTGTGGCGCGAAGCACATTTCGAAGTCAAAATGTACAAAACACACCAGGTCCGGACCACTTTTGGAAGTTGAGATGTCGAAAAAGTGCACGCCGTTGTGGCGCAAAGCACATTTCGAAGTCAAAAGTGGAAAAACTGAGGGGTTCGGAGCATTTTTGGACGTTCAGATGCCGTTTTGCGTGGCAGGCGCACGGGATTGTGCACCTTGTCAAAAGCGAGCAAAACGTGAGGGTTTTGTAGCATTGAAGAAGATCTGCAAAGATGCATTTCCCGTGGCAGGCGCAATACAAGAGACATGTTCATCAGAGCTGTTAGGAGGTCAGGGCGCTGATTTCCTGAGAGGGGTTGCATTTTGGAGCATTAGATTTTATTTTTTCGTGGCGGGTGCAGTAATTTAGACAAGTGGAGTCGAAAAATCGCAAAACGCATTGGTACGAGGCCGTCAGCTCTGCACTCAACTTTCCCATTTTTGAAGGAAGTCTCGCAGAATTGCTTCGTTTTTGATGTTGTCAACTTTAAAAAATGAGGAAGTCTCGCAGCATTGCTTCGTTTTTGACGTTGTCAAGTGCAAAAACTGAGGAAGTCTCGCTGACATGTTGCGTTTTTGATGTTGTCAAGTTCACAAACTGAGGAAGTCTCGCACAATAGCCTCGTTTTCAAGCTTGCAGATAGACAGACAGTCAGACAGACAGATAGATAAATGGATAGATAGATAGATAGATAGATCGATCGATAGATAGATAGATGGATGGATAGAAGGATAGATAGATAAATAAGATAGGATTAGATTAGATTAGATTAGATAAGACAAGAAAAGAAAGAAAGATAGATAGATAGCTAGATAGATAGATAGATAGACAGATAGATAGATAGATAGACAGACAACTACAACTATCACTACCACTACCACTACCACAACACTACTACTACTACTACTGCTACTACTACTACTACTACGACTACTACTGCTACTACTACTACTACTACGACTATACGACTACGACTACGACTGCGACTATACGACTACGACTACGACTACGACTACGACTACGACGACTACTATTTTACTACTACTACGACTACTACTACTACTACTACTACTACTACTACTACTTCTTACTACTACTGCTACTACTGCTACTACTGCTACTACTGCTACTACTGCTACTACTGCTACTACTGCTACCACTACTACTACTACTACTACGACTACTACGACTACTACGACTACTACGACTACTACGACTACTACGACTACTACGACTACTACGACTACTACGACTACTATACGACTATTACGACTACTACGACTACTACGACTACTACGACTACTACGACTACTACGACTACTACGACTACTACGACTACTACGACTATACCACGACTACTACGACGACTACTACGACTATACCACGACTACGACTATACCACGACTACCACGACTACTACGACTACTACGACTACTACGACTACTACGACTACTACGACTACTACGACTACTACGACTACTACGACTACTACGACTACTACGACTACTATACGACTACTACGACTACTACGACTACTACGACTACTACGACTACTACGACTACTACGACTACTACGACTACTACGACTACTACGACTACTACGACTATACTACGACTATACTACGACTATACTACGACTATACTACGACTATACTACGACTATACCGCGACTACGACGACTACGACGACTACGACGACTACGACGACTACGACGACTACTACGACTACTACGACTACTACGACTATACTACGACTATATACTACGACTATATACCACGACTACGACGACTACGACGACTACTACGACTACGACTACGACTACGACTACGACTACGACTACAACTGCTACTACTACTACTACTACTACTACTACTACTACTACTTTTACTACTACTAGTATTACTACTACTAGTATTACTACTACTATTACTACCACTACTACTACCACTACTACTACTACTACTACTACTACTACTACTACTACTAGTACAGCTACAAATGCACATGAACTAATTACGCTACACTACACTACACTACACTACAGTACACTACACTACACTACACTACACTGCACTAATTACACTACATTACGCTACAACTACAACTACAACTGCAACTACAATTGTAACTACCACTAAATTGCACTACACGACACTACACCAATTACACGACACCACACAACAACTGCAACTACGCTACCTTACACTACACTAGACTACACTACACTATACCACACTACAGTACACAACACTACAGTACACTTCAATACAGTACAGTACAATACACTACACTAATTACACCACACCACAACTACAACTACAACTGCAACTGCAACTACACTACACTTATTACACATTACAATTACACCTCCATTACACCACACTACAACTACAACTACAACTGCACTACACCACACTTCATCCAGCAGTTGTGGGTGAGGTGACCACTGCAACTATTGCAACCACTCCAAAAGCCACAACTTCAACCACCTTTCGGTCCATCAGTGGATTCGCCCTGCCATCCGTGATTCACAACAACCAACCTCTCCTATCGGTTTCCTATTTTTGAAACTTCCGCCACCGCCTTGTGCGGTACTACTGGTATACATAATGCGTGTCTTTATCAGAAAAATACACTATGACAATATGTATAAATGCACTTGCGTCGTTGGACCTATGCCGGCATTGCACCACTTAACATGTGGAAAAATATACAGGAGATGGTGGGGAATGATATCATGCTTTGTGGCGGATGCCATCTCAACATTGGGAAGGCACTGATGAATCACCTGAGCTGATCTGAAAATAGGTTACGGTACCAAAAGAACACATATGATGTTTCTTTAAAGTTCTTAAATCATTTTCCTTATTCAATTGCCATTTCTTGACGTATACCCTATTTTCCGACAAACCCATCTCTCTGGGTATGATGAGAACATGGCATTTGGGCCCGTCCCTTCTCCAACGGAAGGTCCCACCTTCTCTTTACTGCAGGACTGCCCGGCAGCCCCTGCAGTTCGAGGTATTTCACAAACGCGGCCAGCGCCTGCGAAGCACAGGGCAGCACTCAAGTTTCACGGCACAGAAGCAAGCCTTTTTCATACATCCAGTGACAAAAACAAAACGTAAAGGACTAATCCATACTAATCCTAAATGGGTCCCAATATGTGTAAATCATTGTAAATCCCTACAGTACTAAACCCTGGTTTCTCTGGGGGAGTTTAATATTGGGGGGAATGGATTGCAGTCTAGAAGTGACTAGAAGTCAGCCACACCAGCAGAAACAGCACACAATGCTGCACTCTGCACATGTAAAATGGGGCCCTCGCTCCAGAAGGCTGGGGTTGAGCCATAGCCCAAGCCTCAGGCTGCATCGAAAATATCCACGGTCTAGCTTAGCAGTATATCTCAGTCTAACCACTCCAACCAGTCAAAACAGACCCGGTGACCTGGCCAACCACGCCAGTCCTGGTCAAACAGGACCACAGAACTCATATTTTTGTGCCCAAGCAGCGCAGTAGTCGGGCTCATGGTCGCAAACTTCTGCAAATGTACGCCTGCAAAGACTTCAAAGGGCAGGTCCCGCAGTCCCACCACCCTGTGGATTTATTTGTCTGACCCAAAAAATCCAATAGTTGATCAACATGTTTTCATACTTGTCCTATTAGAAGTGCAAATCTGGGGTGTATATATATATATCCATATATATCCTACTTTTGGGCAAACCCCTATTGTGTTGTCGCCTGAGATTTTGCAACCACCATTTCCAACCACCTGGACAGATGTGCACATTTAATCGATTTGCAAGTATCCTATCACAGGGTTGAACATGCATCCACTGTTACTTACTGTCAAAGACCCAAGAAAGAGTCTCTGAAGATCTATGAATGGAAATCCTCTCATTGATATGTATGGGTTTGTCTGACGATTGGGTTCACAAGTCACTGGTTCATCAGCATGTTCCCCAGCACATTTGAGGATATATCCCATTTCAAGACTCACCCACATAGGAACTTAAAAAATATGTATTTGCTAGTGCCATAGATACCTGACAGCGGAGCTCGGGACCAAGCTTGAACAAGGGACAAGATTCACAAGACTCCAGGTCGACAGCCGCCCGTTTTCAGACTGCCAGCATTTCTCATGGGTTGAACCGAGGTACCCCTGGATCCTGCAATGGTACACTAAAAATCACTCTATGAATTTCTCAGATGTCCAGCAAAACATAGACTTCGTAGGGAAACTCCGACATGGCTGTATCCTCTTCCTGTCGCATGTGCCTCCCCTCTTCTGTCAACATCGATTTGGGATCCAGAATCTTCATCATATGCATAGTGATGGCCTTGATTTCAGTGCCCTGCTCATGTTTTTTGAGATCCATCTTCTCCCCATAGCCTCTGGCTGAAATGGAGAACTTTTGCTCATCAAAGGCAAGGATCTCAATGCAGCGACAAATGTGCATCTCGGTCGAAAACATGTAGAGAAATTCATCCAGCAAATGGTACAACAAATCCAGCATATCGTGTCCAGTGGCATGAACATCCACGGACCCAACAATGTCGACCTTTTCAAGGGGAGTCATGTAGTTGAACATGCCCACACAAACCTGCGCCAGGGCTTCTGCAAGGGAGGAGCCCCAGGAGTGTACGATGATGTCAGCAGTGTGATCGTGATATTGAAACCTGGTTGCGATGGCCATCAACCCATCCCCCCAAAAAAATTGCGGCTTGGGGTCATCTAGAGAAGTGGGGATGGGTCAAAAATTAAGCCCCATGGGACCACAGATTTTAGTCCATGGTTAGTATTAACCATCTAATGACCGGAGTACCCATTTTTGACCCAAACCCAACTGATGAAAAGTAGGGGATGAAAAACTGAACAGTTTGGAAACCACAGACCAGAAACTGTCTCACATCCTTCACATGAGATGGAAGCTCCATGGCAGTTGTCGCTGCCGACGTACTCCCTTGTTCTCGGATGTCAGACATTTGCGCCTCAGAATTTTGGCTTTGGTCCTTGCCCCGGTAAAAGTTCAAGATATTCACCACTTCCGGTCTGGCTTTCGCAATGGCACTGGGAAGTCCGGTTAAAACGATGGACTCCATTCCCTTGTCGCTGATCAAAGGTCGAGCCATCAGCCCAAAGTTTTCACTCACAATGCCCAAATCACTTTGGATATTGGCCGCTGTAGCTTCATCCAGCTGCCAGGCCGTGGCTCTTCCCACGGGAATGCGCACGGTGGCCTCATGCTCCGTGTCGCTCTTGCTTCGGTGGAGCAACTCATAGTTGGCCAGATCTCGGGGCTCCTCTGGCATCTCCTGGGGGGTGCCGAAGCCAGATTTGTGGTCGCTTGGTCGCTTGGTGGGTCAAATGCCCATTCAAGATGGGTTGAAACATGTTGAAATTCATGCCAGGTTCCATCCACCTAATCTGGTACCAAAAACATCCAAAAACCATCCCCCCATTTGACCACAGAATCTGCTCCTCATCTTCCATCTCCTTAGCATCCCGCAGCTCTGCGGCAGTGACCAGGATCACTTCGACACCATGTCTGATGTGAGAGCCAAAGGTCTCTTGAAGCTGTGACTCGTTCAGGAAAAGGAGCTGAATCCCGTCAATGCCTGGTATACACGTAGTCATGCATGTAGGTACACATAGCCACCCATCCAAGAGCTGATGGCTATGTATGCATGTATGCATGCATGCATGCATGGATGGATGGATGGATGGATGCATCTATACATCTATGCATCTATGCATCTATACATCTATGCATCTATGCATCTATGCATCTATGCATCTATGCATCTATGCATCTATGCATCTATGCATCTATGCATCTATGCATCTATGCATCTATGCATGCATGCATGCATGCATGCATGTATGTATGTATGTACGTACACATAGATATGTTTAAATGACCCGAGTCTAAAGGGTTTTGATGCGTTAAACGATGGCTTGACCATCCCAAATCATATTCTTTGGGGTTCCACAAAGTCTCATGAATACATATATATATATATATGCACGTATATCATGAATACATTAAACATAAAAATGTCTTAGAATCATCATCCCGATCCCAACTAGGGATGGAAAATTGAAAACAAATGCTACAAGATAGGCTATAGTACGCCCTAAAAAGATATAAAATCAATTTATCACTATCTTTTGGAAGGATGTTTTTACGGTTCTATCTTTTTCATTCTTGTTGATGGTTGTTATATGTATTTATTCCTAGCCTCAAAAAGAAGGTCTAAAATCAGCACCGAGATTCCAATGATGACATCTCCGGGCTGAAGCGCTGAGTCTTGACCTGGCAACTCCTCAACGGCCTCAACCTGAGACGGGCTGAAGCAATGGAAGGATACCCTCCATCGAAACTCCCTAGAAATGGAGGTTTTAATGGGACATTTATCTATCTATCTATCTATCTATCTATCTATCTATCTATATGATAAAAATGACCATAGGTATACTATATCAATCTATATCAATCTATATCTGTTGGTGGTGGACCTACCCCTCTGAAAAATATGAGTTCGTCAGTTGGGATGATGACATTCCCAATAGATGGAAAAATAAAACATGTTCCAAACCACCAATCAGTATATATATATATATATACACATATAAATGATGAAAATGACCATTGCCACGTTTCATTACTGGAGGTTATGTCGGAAATAAACTCACTGGGTCAAAATTGGTGATTTAACCATCAAACATTGCGATTGGACTAAGGAAAATGGAGAGAGAATGGTGAGTTAGGGATTTGACCAATAAGAAATTGGATTAAACTGATTAAACAAAGCATTTTATCTGGATTTATTGCGGATATAGTGGGATGTAACACTTTACTCATATGCTTTTGGGTGTCAGAAAACGAGGTGCACTCCCCAAATAGCACCTCATTGATGGGGAAGATCATGATTAACACGTGGATGCAAGAGCGCCCTATTTTTGAGAGAAATCCATGTGCGCAAAGATCCGATAAATTCCAAGGATGTGTGATCTACTACCATCAATGAGCCACATCTTTGGGGTCTGAAACTGCTGATCTGCCATCCTGCACAGCTGCACATTTTACCACATCTTGAGCATCCCGCACCAGCTGTGTGTGTGTGTGTGCGTGTTCAATATGTTTCACGGTTTTTTACCTTTAGATCACCAGTTTTTGCGCCGGAAGTACAGTACTGCGAAATGCCATGACCCCTATGTATGATAATAACTCTCCAAACTCAGGAATGGTTTTAGTACAGGACACATTTCTGGTCAAACAGGGGGATGTATGATGGTTTTAGCTGTGTCACAGTACCATAAATTGGGCATTTCCCCACTCCAAAAGATGATTTATATGTTCTCCATGACAACTGCCATCACTGGGCCATCCCTACTCTTGGATAAAGCCCATATCATATGTTTATCCCATGACATCCCCATCAATTATACATACATAATATATAGATTTTATATACAGGTAGATATATATATATAGATAGATAGATCTTATATACATATATATATATATTACCCTCCTTTCAACTAACATAGATGTGGAGTTTACATGAGTTAACCCACCATGTGTAGATCATGTTCCTGGGGCAAAACCCCATGGGTTTTCCATCTCCGCAGGCCTGATAGCCCCAGTCGGTGACCTCCGTGTGGAGCCCCGCTCCAAGTTCCGCATCAACGCGCAGCGCGCATCGGTGCAATGAGGAAAATCCATGGGAGCCGCACCAGGCTGGAAAGCTGGCGGACAACCAGGGAATCTCGGCCATGGCTGGGAGTGCAAAGACTGAAGCTGTTGATATCTGGATTTTTTGCTGATCTGTTGGATGTTGATATCTGTTGATATCGTTCAAGTTGTTAAAGACAAGGAATCCGGGGATAAATTGGTAAGTCTCAAACTTAGGTCCATAAAGAGCAAGCAAACAAGCAAATAATTGGATCTATCTTGAGCAGTGGAACACCCTCCTGGGTTTGGTGTCGCGGATTTCTCCTCAATCACGATCCGATGGCTCGGATCCGCGCTGAGAGCTACAGCCGAGCCGAATGACAATGACCAAAAAGTTGCGGGATCTTGAAACATTTGATCAACATATACCAGCAGAACATCTGAATGAACTCAATGTGTATCGAATCTCAGATCCCTAAGCCCTAGAAGATTTTGGATATCCAATTTACTGTAGATCCTAATTCACAGTATACAATGGTCTATCCATACCACACGCTCCCTGCCCCATCGGGCACCCTCGATGCTTTCCAAAGGTCATCAATGCTGCGCCCGCTTCAGAGCCATCGGACTCTGCTGCCTCGAGGCTGTGGCCCTTTTTCCCCCCTGTGGTGTGGCGGGGGTGTGGTACTGTCCACCCCCTCCCTCCCTGTGGTGTGGTGGGGGAGGTGTGGTGCGGGGTGTGTGGTGCGGGAGTGGTGGTGCGGGGGGGGTGGTGCGGGGGGGTGTGGTATGTATGACAATATATATATATATGGCATGGTGGGTATGGTGAGTATGGTATGTAATTATCTCATGTACGGTATGTTTGATATGTATGGTATGTTTGGCATGTATGGTTGGTATGGTATGTTTGGAATGTATGGTATGTTTGGTATGTTTGGTATGTATGGTAGGTATGGTATGTATGGCATGTATGGTTGGTGTTGTATGGATGGTAGGTGTGGTGTGTAAGTATGTTGGGTATGGTATGTTTGATATGAGGGTATGTATGGTGTGTATGGTCGGTCTGGTACGGCATGTTTGGAATATATGGTATGATTGGTATGTATGGTAGGTATGGTATGTATGGCATGAATGATTGGTATTGTATGGATTGTAGGTATGGTATGTAAGTCTGTTGGGTATGGTATGTTTGATATGACAGTATGTATGGTCTGCATGGTCTGTATGGTATGTATGGTTACTACGATGGGTATGGAATGATTGCTATGTAAGGTAGGTATGGTGTGTATGATATGTATGGCATGTATGTTTGGTATTGTGTGTATGGCAGGTGTGGTAATTATGTTTCGTATGTATGGTATGTGTGGTATGTATGCTAGGTATGATAGGTATGGTATGTATGGTCAAAGTTCGTATGGTATGTGTCCAGAGTGAGTAAGGCATGTAGGGTTGGTATGGTAGGTTTGGTAGGTTTTGGTATGCAACAGACCGTCGTTAGATCGTATACGGGTAGTTCATAAGTACGATATACAAGCATGTGCGTGTAAGTCCCTAGTATGCAGGAAAGATATGTTAAACACATGTAGTGTTGTGAGAGTACACAGGTAGTAAATAGGAAGTAGATACATAGCACGTGTATATATGACTATAGGTAGCACGTAGGTACTTTGAGGGAGTATGTGTGCTACGTAGGTCGTCTAAAAGGTAGCATGTACCTAGAAATGCTGCAAAGACCTAGCAAATACGAGGCTGGACCTCAGAAATGCTGCCAATAGCTTGCAAATAGAAGGGAAGGGGGTGCTACCTGGGGACGCATACCTTTGGGGGGTAGGAACACGGAACACAAGACCATATACGGACAAGCTGACAACTAATTAATAACGATAAAACATTCTATTTTGGGGTTGCAAATTTGGAGACATTCCCGAATGAATTGGAAGGCATCCACTTTATCAGCTAGATGTTAACCAGGATATCAAGGGTTTGCTGTTACAGTCATTTCGACCTGGTAAGGCTTGCCGATCCTCCCGGTAGGTGGCAAGGTTGAGGCTTGATAAACGGAACGTGACGTTTTGGAATGCCTGAAGGACCATCTGCTGTAATTGTCATGAAAGAAGGTTGAACCTGTTGAAAACAGAACATACTAATGAATAGTAAGTATGAACATGTTTGTTCTACACTTTAGCAGATAATATGTGTATACATACATATATGGGTTACCCATATATATGTATACTGTAAGATACATTAAATGTCTCTACATACGAAAAGTTAGTGGTCCCCAACGGTTCTTCACAACACTGGTCCCGCGCCTGCGCTGGTCGGGCACCTAAGGCATTTACATTATGACATCCCAAGTCAGGATGGACATAGAAAGTACATGTATATATATATATATATGTATATTTGTATATACAGTATATACATATAATATATCCACACACATATAGCTACTATGATATGAATATATATTTAAAAAAAAATGAGTTCATATGTAATATACACACATGTAGCATGATATAGTTATATACCAATTTTGGACCAACCCGTGTCAACTTCGCATCTTTTCTCCAGCAAAGTTCTTCGTCGCTCAGTGGTGACGGGGTGCCACATGGCGGCGTCTTGGGGCCTCCGAGGGTGGAAAGTGGAAATCGGTCCTGTTGGTGACAAGGACTTGTCAAAGTTTAGGGAAATGCTGGTAGAGCAATGGTAAGCCATCCCCAATTTTCATAAAGGTGGTATAAGGTGGTATAAACGATCACCCTTTTTTGTAATTGGCTACAACAGCACTTCTTCGGCTTTTCTTGAACAAGAGAAGCTTCAGAATTCCGGAGCCTTGTCCAGCGACTGGGAAGGGCACGAAATGCCCTGCTTTTGCAAGTCCTGCAGAAGTTCAACGAATCGAATGCTTTCAGACGCATGTTTGCTCGAGCTGAAGGATGAGTGCAACTCAAGCGCTTGAACAGCCTGAACATATCTCCTGGTTCGAGGTTAAAATAATTTTTGATACTGTAATTTTTTGCCTGTGCCCTATGCCTGCATCGCAGATCTTTAATCGTGTTCACTCGTGCAGGCAGAATGGCGTTCTCGAGTCATATGGGGCCGTCAAATCAACATGACGGTCTCGTAGACTTTGGTAGATCTTGGCAGCTCAAGTTCAAACGTCTGAGATGTCAGTATGGATCAAGATGAAGTGCCCTTGAAATTGGTATCCCGATGTCCTACTGGATTTGGGGTTTGACCCATCCCAATACCTAGGTTGAGCGCCAAAACCATGTCCCACTCAATGGCTCGGTCAAAGAAATTAGCGGATCAAAACTCGTCACTTCACGTTCAACGCATGTTTCAGCTCATGTTCAACCCTTGTTCGCCCCATGGTTTAAAATCTTTCAGCATATTGTCACGGGTCCAAACATCCATGATCCCCACTTGGCTGTCCGGGATCCAGGCATCGTAAGTGGGTTTAAGAATTGTTTAATTATCAACTGAAATAAGCGTCAATCAGATTAGTGGGATATACCCCTGTCATCCCCTGTCAAATAAATGTGCCACTTAGCATTTTTCCCGAATGCGTAGCAAGGGTTCCCGTTTCACACTGGGGGTCTGGGGGTTGAGGCTGTGTTCACTCGACGGTGCGCAAACGTCCGCGACAGTTCGCATGCCTATTGCAAGTTCTGCAAAAGTAGTCACTTTTGGAGGTTTCAAACGTCGCGTGGCCTCGTTTCGCGTGGCAAGCGTGGCACTTTGTGACATTCTCCAACATTTTTCATAATGTGTCCAAAATCGTTTTGTGTGGAAGGCGCAATACTTTTGCATACTTTTGCGATGTTTTCAGAAAATTGATTGCATTTTTCCTCACAGGCGCAGCACTTTGGAGACCTCCATGGTCGTTTCGCGTGGCAGGCGCAGCACTTTAGACGCGTCGTGTTGCGTGCTTTGTACGAATCGCATTGTCAGGGCTGCGTGAAGTGGTGACAACGTGCAAATTCCGTGGGCAGGCGTGGGACATCGTGAGAGTGTCAATTTTGCGTGGCAGGGGCAGTATTTGGTGCAGACCCGTTCTGTGTGGAATGTTATTTTGCATGGCACTCTACACTGTACACTTTACACTCCGCACTTGACACTTTACACTCCACACTCACCACTGTACACTTTACACTCTACACGTCACACTCCACACTTTACACTCCACACTTTACACTCCACACTTTACACTCCAAACTTTACACTTGACATTTTACACTCCACACTCTACACTGTACCTCTACACTGTACGCTTTACACTCTACACCTCACACTCCACACTCCACACTTTACACTTCACGCTCCACACTCTACACCTAACACTTTACACTCCACACTTTACACTCAACGCTTTACACTCCACACTTTACACTGCACACTTTACACTCCACACTCCACACTCTACACTTTACACTCCACACTCTACACTTTACACTCCACATTTTACACTTTACACTCCACACTTTACACTTTACACTCCACACTGTAAACTTTACACTTTACACTCTACCCTCTACACTCCACACTCCACACTTTACACTTTACACTCCACACTTCACACTTTACATCCCTCACTTTACACTGAACACCCACACTCTACACTTTACACTCTACACTCCACACTTTACACTCCACACTCCACACTTTACACTTGACACTTTACACTCCACTCCACACTCTACACTTTACACTCCACACTCTACACTCCACACTCTACACTTTACACTCCACACTCTACACTCCACACTCTACATTTTACACTTCTCATTTACACTTGGCACTTTACACTCCATACTCCGCACTCTACACTTTACACTCCACATTTTATACTTTACACTTCACACTGCACACTACACACTTTACACTTAACACGTTTCTCTCCACACTTTACACTTCACACTCTACACTCTGCACTTCACACTTTACACTCCCTCCACACTCTACACTTTACACTCCACACTCTACACTCCACACTCCACGCTCTACACTTTACACTCCTCACTTTACTCTTTACACTCCACACTTTACACTCTGCACTTTACACTTGACATTTTACACTCCACACTCTACACTCCA